CATCACAATGACAGTTTATGACTGTTCAGTAAACCATTCGGCCCGCGATTTAGGCTGGATTTTAGATTTTGGCCCCTTCTCTGATTGAGTTCGACACCCCTAATAAGGGATGAAACCTCCCTCGGGGCCTAGCCTTGCTTTAATGTTTGCCATAAAATATTGTATTCTGGCTTCACTCAACCTTATATTTATTGTTGTATTCTGGTTTTACTCAACCTTACACCATCAGTTAAGACAATTGATATTTTCTATTGCAACTTCTCCTGGCATTATACTTTCCCACCTGGCAGGAGATCCTAGAGCAGCTGTGGAGTTTGAGTTTCAGGGAAATGTATTTATGTGGTTCGCAGACAATTCCATAGATAGTCAAATTACTGTTAGCTACATTGCATAGGATTGGCTGAGCAATGGCAATTTATCTTAAGATATTATAAATTACATTATTATTTCTATTGGAATTATATAAGTTGTGCTATAAAAAAGGAGATTTTAGTAAACAAAACAATTTATTAGGCAATCCTATATAATAAAAGGCCAGTGACCATAGCATAATGACCAGAACGATGGCAATCAGACCTGTAGGGGAGGGAAGTTGCGGGGGAAGAGGCGGGGAGAGAGAGACAGGCCTGTAGGGAAAGGCAGTTGGGGGTGATCAGGCCAGCAGGGGAGGGCAGTTGGGGACACTCAGGCCCACCCCACCCACTGCTCTAGGACCTCACTGCCCCATTGTCTGTGTCCATGGGCCATGCATATATGCATTCATGGTCCTTGGTTGATTACTTCTCACCCACCCACCCTCACCACCTTCCATCCAAGATTCTGCACTCTGTTCCATGCTTTGAGTCTCTGGATCCACTCAGTTCATCAGTTTATTTTGTTGTTTAGATTCCACAGATGAGTGATATGATGTGATGCTTGTCTTTCTCTGATTTCACTTAGCATAATACTCTCCAAGTCCCTCCATGCTGTCTCAAAGGGTAAGAGATTCTTCTTTTTTACTGCTGCATAGTATATCATTATATAAATGTATCACAGCTTTTTATTCACTTATCTACTGATGGGTACTTGGGCTGTGTCCAGATCTTACCTGTTGTAAATTGTGCTGCTATGAATATAGGGGTACATACATTCTTTCTGTTTGGTAATTCAGGTTTCTTAGGATATATTCCTAGAAGTGGAATCCCTGTATTAAATGGATTGTTTCTCTTCCTTCTGTTAAATTGTATGAGTTCCTTATATATTTTGAATAGTAACCCTTTATCAGATGTATCATTGCCAAATATGTTCTCCCATACAGTGTGCTCACTTATCATTTTATTGACAGTTTATTTTGCTATGCAGAAGCTTTTTATTTTTATGTAATTCCATTTATTTTCTTCTTAGTTTTCTTTGCCCTAGGAGATGTATCTGTAAACATATTCTATGAAAGCTATGTGAGATTTTTCTGCCTATGGTTTTTTCTAGTTTTTTTATGGTTTCACAACTTACATTTAAGTCTTTTACCCATTTTGAGTTTATTCTTGTGTATGGTATAATTTGGTGGTCTAATTGCATTTTTTTGGTATGTATCTGTCCAATTTTCTCAATACAATTTGTTGAAGAGACTGTCTTGACTCAATTGTAACTCTTGCCTCCTTGGTCAGATATTAATTGAGCACAATGGCTTGAATAAATTTCTGGGGTCTCATTCTGTTTCATTGATCTATTGTATATGCTTGTTCTTATGCCAGTACAAAGGCTGTTTGATTATGGTGGCTTTGTAGTATAACTTGAAATCTGGTATTGTGGTTCATCCAACTTTGTTCTTCTGTCTATAGATTGCTGTGGCTGTTCAGGGTCTCTTTTGGTTCAATATAAAATTTTGGAATATTTGTTTTAGATCTGTGAAATATGCCATGGGTATTTTAATACGGATTGCATTGAATCTCTATGTTGCTTTGGGTGGTATAGCAATTTAATGATGATTCTACCAATCCATGAACATGGTATATTCTTTCACTTGTTTATACCTTCTTCTATTTCTTTTTTTTTCAATGGCTTGTAGTTTTTTAATATAGGTCTTTTGCCTCCTTGGTTAAGTTTATTTCAATTTTAATTGTTTTTGTTGCAATGGTAAATGGGATCGTTTTCCTGGTTTCTTTTATAAGAGTTTATTATTGGTGTATTAAAAAAAACACATTGATTTTTGGGTGTTGATTTTGTATTCAGCTACATTGCCAAATCCCTTTATGAAATCTAGAAGTTTTTTGTGTGGCGTTATTAGGATTTTCTATGTAAAATATCATGTCTTCTGCAAATAATGAGAGTTTTATTTCCTCCTTTCCAATTTAGATGCTTTTATTTCTTCTTGTCTGATCACTGTGGCTAAGATGTACTATCTTATATAATAAAAGGATAATATGTAAAATGTTCTCTCAGGAGTTTGACAGGGAGACTGATTGCTCTCTATGATGTGAGCTGAACACCAGGGGGTAGCTTGAAACATGGCGGGCTACCAGCAACTGCAGCAGGGCACTGAGGGAGCAAGGGAAGGAGGAGGCGAGGAGGCCGTGAGTCAAGGAATCTAATGGACCCTGATCACCAGCCAGGTCTAGGGACTTTACCTGTGCACTAGGCCTCTAGTGTTTAGTAAGAGTAATGAAAGAGGACATCCGTGGCTTGTTCCCCTGTTCTTAGGGGAAATGGTTTTAGCTTTTGCCCATTGAGTATGATGTTTGCTGTAGTTTTGTCATATAGGGCCTTTATCATGTTGAGATATGCTCCCTCTATTCCTACTTTGATAAAAACTGAGAGTTTTTATCAAAAATGGGTGTTGGATTTTGTCGAATGTTTTTCTGCATCTATTGATACAATCATGTGATTTTTGACTCTCAATTTGTTTATGTGATCTATCACATTTATTAATTTGCGAATATTTTACCAACCTTGCGTCCCTGAAATAAATCCTACTTGGTTATGGTGTATTATCTTTTTAATATATTGCTTGATCCAAGTTGCTAATATTTTGTTGAGGATTTTAGCATCTGTGTTCATCATGAATATTGGCCTGTAATTCTGTTTCTTTATAGTGTCTTTATCAAGTTTTGAAATTACTGTAATCCTGGCCTCATTAAAAAAGAAGAAGAAGAAGAAGAAGAAGAAGAAGAAGAAGAAGAAGAAGAAGAAGAAGAAGAAGAAGAACTTGGAAGAATTCCTTCCTCTTGGATTTTTTAGGATACTTTGAGGAGTATAAATGTTAGTTTTCTGAATGTTTGGTAAAACTCCACTGTGAAGCCATCTGGACCTGGGCTTTTGTTTGCCAGGAGTTTTTTATTTTTATTATTACTGCTTCAATTTCATTAGTGATTATTGTCCTATTCAGGTTTTCTGATTCTTTTTTATTCAGTTTTGGAAGATTGTATTTTTCTAATTTTATCCACATTATCCAGATTGTTGGCATATAGTTGTTCATAGTATTTTCTTACAACCTTTTGTATTTCTGTGGTGTCAGTGGTTACTTCTCTACTTTTGTTCCAGATTTTATTTATTTGTGTCCTCTTTGTTGCTTGATAAGTCTAGCTAATGGTTCATCAACTTTGTTTATACTTTCAAAAACCAGTTCTTGGTTTAATTGATTTTCATCTCTATGTTATTTATTTCTGCTCTAATCTTTATTATTTCCTTCCTTCTACTTATTCTGGGCTTTTCTTGTGTTGTTCCCTTTCTGGTTCTTTAAATTGTAGGGTTAAATGGTTTATTGATTTTTTCCCCCCTGTTTTTTTTTGTTTGTTTGTTTGTTTTTTGGTAGGCCTATAGTCCTATAAACTTACCTCACAGGACTGCTTTTGCTGTGTCCCAGAGATTTGTTGTGTGTTCATTTTCATTTGTTTCCAGGAAGTTTTTTTATTTCTATCTTGGTCTCATTGGTAATTTATTCATTGTTTAATAACCTGCTATTTAGCCTCCATATGTTTGAATGTTTGTGGGAGTTTTTATTGGAGTTGATTTCTAATTTAATTCCACTGTGATCTGAGAAGATGCTTGATATGATTTCAATTTACTTGAACTTGTAGAGACTTGTTTTGTGTCCTAACATGTGGTCTATCTTTGTGAATGATGCATGTGCACTGAGAAGAATGTATATTGTGCAGCTTTGGAGTGAAATGTCCTATAAATGTCAGTTAAATCCATCAGATTCAGAGTGTCCTTTACCAGCAGAGTCACTATTTCCGTGTTAAGTTTTGTCTGGATGATTTATCCAATGAAGTTAGTGGGGTGTTAAAGTCCCCTACTGTGATTATATTGTTGTAGGTCTCTCCTTTAAAGTCCTCTAGAAGCTCATTTCTATATTTAGGGGCTTCTATATTGGGTGCCCATGTGTTTACCATGGTTACATCCTCTTGGTGAATCCATCCCTTAAGTAGTATGTAGCGACCTTTGTTGTCTTTTGTGATGGCCTTCATCTTGAATTCTATTTTTGTTGGATATGAGTATTGCTACTCCAGCTTTTTTTTTTCTTCTTTTTCTTTTCTATCTGGATGGAAAATTTTTCCCATCCCTTCACTCTCATTCTGTGTGTCTCTTTTATCTGAGGGGGATCTCTTGTAGACAGGATTGTTTTGTGGGTTTGTTTTTTTTTCTAAATTAAGATGTATCCTGGAAATCACTTTCACATTAATTTAAAGGGTTCTTTTTCAATCTTTTTCTACTTGTTGGATTTTATGGGGTCACATTTACTTTATATTATAGCGTGGGGAGAATTAAAACTTTTATGTTGAGTCATTTTTTTTTTCTAAAAATGAAGGGTGTCTTTTCACTTACTTAACTTTGTTTTTGTGCCTTTCAAGTGAATTTTAAAGCTTTCCTTCTGTAGATTTTAATCATTTTTAAAGTTAATGCCAAAATAGTCTATATTTTTTTGTTGTAAAGAAGTTTTTCTTCCATTTTGTCTTCTAACTGATTATTGTTTATATGAGACTATTGGTTTTATTAATTTATTTTTTGTTGAGGGTGTTACAGATAAAAATATGAAATGCTTCATGAATATGTGTGTCATACTTGCACAGGAGCCATGCTAATCTTCTCTCCATCATTCCAGTTATAGTATGTATACTGCAAAGCAAGCACAAGACTATTGGTTCCTACATGTTAAAATTATATCCTGTTATACCACAGAATCTATATATGTGCTAATTTGTTATTGATTCACTCAGGTTTTCCAAGCATGTTATCTCATCAATTGCAACTAAGAACAGTTTTATTTCTTTATTTCTCCTAATTCTACTCATTTTGTTGTGTCTGAACGCATGTCCCACATTCCCAGTTCAATATGAAATAATAGTGGAGATAATGGGCATCCTTCTTAGGGCAATTTTTGAGCCACAAAAATGTAGTGATGTTCCATTTTCCATACTAATACTAAGTGCAATCTGCTAGAGCAATAGGCAGTGTCCCCAGGCAGGAAAACTGCTTTATTTGTAATACTCCAAAAGATGTGTTTCTATGGAGTTAAATTTAAGATCCAATTTTCTTTTAAGGTAGAAATCAAGGGAACTTATGATACTACCTCAAAGAAGCTTCATAGAAATTCTTTTGAATTACATGTGTCAAATTGCTATCTTCTTTCTGTGTTGATGAGGTGATCTAATAAAAGTCATAGAGGGCCTGGCAATAGGAATAGGATGTGCCTCTCTGTGAAAGCAAGTCTTTTTTTTTTTTTTTAATTTATCTTTATTGTTGAAAGTGTTACAGATGGTCTCTTTGCTTTTTTTTTTTTTTTTTTTTTCCCCCATTGACCACCTCCAACTGCACCTGCCCTTCCCAGGCCTTCGCCACCCTTTGTGTTTGTCATGCATATATGCATATAAATTCCCCAGTTTATCTCTCAATACCCCCACCCCCACCTTCCCTCTGAAATTCCTGAGTTTATCCCTTGCTTCTATGTTTCTGGATCTATTTGTGAGAGCAAGTCTTAAGGCAAAGGGCAGATTCCAATTACTGATAGGACACTGTAAATTAAATTAATATGTGTTTTAATAATTTTAAGGTTTTAGATTTACTCTCTTTTAAAAAAAATGTTTTTTAATTGATTTTAGAGAGAGACTGGGGGGGGGGGGCAGAGAAACATCAATGATGAGAGAGAAGCATTGATAAGCTCCCTCCTGCACACCTCCTACTGGGAAGTAAGCCCGAAACCTGGGCATTTGCCATAACTGAAAATCAAACTAATGATCTGGTACACCAGAGAATATTCAATCAATTGAGTCAAACCAGCATATGTGATTGGAGATTATTTTGGTGTAGTAAACCTTGAAAGGCCAGCAGAGACCGTATCTCTTATAATATGTCTGCCTAAATGCATGTGATCTTAATTTTAGGTTGCTATCACATACAAGTGAACATAAATTAATAACATATTGGGAATGTTTTAATCACAGAGACTCCAGTATAAGTACTTAGTTGATTTTCTGAAATTTTTTAATTAGTAAGACTTAAGCCTTAGGAGTAGTTTGAAAAAAGAAGTACATTATAGCAAGGTAGCACAGTATACAAAGTAGTAATCATATTTATAGTAAAAATGCTTTAGCAGGTATTGATACTTCCACATCTAAAGAGGAGTTTTTATGTTTTATCAACTCAAGGAAAACACTATCTTGAAACATACTAGTGTTTTTTTCTTTCTGGTATAAAGAACAATATTTTTTAAAGGTATTTGGTCAATAATGAACAAAAATCAATGAATTAATCAATTAATGAATCAGGTATTGAAAAAGATCTTGAATGAGAATATTTTTATCAAAAATTTCCAAAATTACATTAAATTTATCTACTTTTTTGATAGCATATAAAGAAGTTCCATGTAGAGAAGTCAATATTTCGACAAAGAAATCTCCAAAAAGAGAACAGGATAAAATAAAATAGGCTGCATTTTGTTATTACAACTTAAAAAACCTTTAGTGGTTTATTGATATCATTGAACTTATATTTGGTATGTTAAAATAAATTTTTGCCCAATACTATTTTAATTTTTGAAGCAAAGAATTGTGTATATTACTCTTACTTTAACCTTGTATAATCTACATAACTGCCTTATTACTTCACTTTTCACATGTCAACACAGCTTTTCAAGATTTATTATGTGCCACAATGATAAATAGATAGAAATAACTCCTTTTTAAAAGAGCCACAGAGACTATTGGCAGGGACCAAAAGGTAAACTAGTAATTGCAATTCAGAGGTTAAAAAAGAGAGCATAGTGATCCGAGAGAGGAAGGCAGGATCAATACTGCAGGGAGACATCAGGGAAACTTTATAGTCATAGAGACCTACATGGTGGAAGATGGGTCAAGAAGAGAGCAGGCAAGGTCAAGAGAAAGCAGAAATTCATAAAGATTCATACGTTTGAGAATGGGAATTGTCTAGAATGCTGGAAACTAGTTGTTTAGTATTTATCTTCCCAGATAGATTTCAAGGTCTGTAATCTTTCTCATTCAACATAATATTTCTCTCTAATACTAACATTGCCTGGCACTTTTAAGAAACCCAATGAGTGTATTTATTGTTTGACTAATTAATTTTATTAAAGTAAATATTAATATACTTAATAATATCTTATTAAGTTAATTTTGATAACTTCAAATTAATTTTTGATAGTTAAACAGTTATATTATGTAAAAGTTCTATTATATAATATAAAACCCACCACTAGATTAAGAAACAAATATTGTCAATCCAATAATGGCCTGTTATGAAAATGCTACTTCTCACCATCCATAATTACTATTCTGAATTTTGTATGTAACACTCCAGTGCATTTCTATATAATTTTGTTACATATGTTTATTGCAGTACTTAAACTTTATATAATTTTTTTTATAATGTTTATTTGATCTGTAATTTGTTTTCTTTCCTCAACATTATTTTTACTATAATTAATTTCTGTTTTCTGATAGTCTGTTGTGTGATTATATACAATTTTTTTTCTTATCGGTTTTGCTTAAAATGGACATTTGTTTCTAACACTTTGTTCTTATGAATAATTATGCTATAAATGCTCTTGTATATGTCCCTTGTGTATATGTGAGAGAGTTTCTGTACATAGATATATACTTAAAAGTAGACTTTTTGGTCAATGCTGCTCAACCTCCTCATTGACACCTGGAACTGCAGCCTTTTTAAATTTTTGTTAATCTGATATGTGTAAATGGTATCTCATTATTTTAGGTTGAATTTGATGAATTTTTCTTTAGGTTTTTTTTTTTTTTTTTTAATGTACTTATTGACCTTTTAGTTTTGTCTTCTGTGAGCTGCTGGTTCCTTTGCCAATTTCATGTACATGTAATTGATCTTTTTTAATTGATTGAGTTATCTTTTTTATTGATTGAATTATTAGTAATCTGATTATAAAGATAATCTTTAACTTTGGTAAAAGATACAACTATCAAATCTACTCAATCATTCTTTTTGGTTTGTGCTCTTTAAGTCTTGTTAAAGAAGTTCTTTCCTACTCAGAATTTATAATATCTACTAGAGGCCCAGTGCATGAAAATTCATGCATTGGAGAGGGGTCCCTCAACGCAGCCCACCCCCTCTCACAGTCCAGGAGCCCACAGGGGTGGAAGGCTACCTGGAGATCAGTGGAAGGTCACACCTCAGCTGCTGCCATTGCCAACAGCACAATCCTCAGCTGGCCCTGGTTACCTGAGATTTGAGTAGCCCTGAGCAGCTGGGCAGCCACTATCCACCATCCAGAGCTTGTCTGTGCCTTGGGCCGAGCCTGGGCAGCTGAGCAGCTGCTATCAGTGCTTGCCTGTGCCTCGGGCTGGCCCTGGGAGTCTAGGGAGCTGAGGGGACTAGCTGACTCTGAAGGCAGACGTGTGGAGCAGCAGGACCTGCCTGGGGCAGACCTAGCTGTGCCATGCCTGCCACCCCGGCAGGGCTGAGGTAACTGTGCACTGGCATCTTGTGGCTTTGGGCACCGCCATCTTCGAGGGCATGGCAGTCAATTAGCATATTTCCTCCTTACTTGTTGAGGGTGCCACCATCTTTGTGATGGTGTGATGGTTAATTAGCATATTCCCTCTTTATTAGATAGGATATTAAGTTATATTATGCTATATTCCATTATATTATACTACTAGGGGCCCCAGTACATGAAATTTATGCACTGGGCAGGGGTCCCTCAACCCAGCCTGTCCCCTCTCATATACTGGGAGATCTCAGGGAATGTTCCACTGATGGCTTAGATCTGCTTTCAATGGGAGGCGACCGGGCTGACCAGGAAAGACACCAGCCCTATCACTCCGCTGCTACAGGCACTGCCAGTCACTGCAGCCGCCAAGGTATTTTCATCAACATGGACTCCAGTCCCTTCACCACGAAAAAATGACAACTTTCTTTAAGTATTTTCAAGATGTGTCTTTCATAGGATATGACATTTCTTTCTTTATTTTTCTTTTTATCCTCACCTGAGGATATGTTTCCATTGATTACCCCCCCCCCCCCCCCTTCCCTCCAATCACAGGCTCAGCCCTTACCCAAGCCTAAAACCTCTGTCTGATGGCTGGTTAGGAGTGACCTTGGTGCCAAGGAGGTTCCTGGGACCCAGATATGTATGCAAAATAACAGCCATATTTGTTGGGTTAAATTGCACACTCACTCTGATTGGCTGTGGTCATAGTGGAAAGTATGGTCAATTTACATGTTTCTCTATTATTAGGTAAGATATCCTTGAATCAAAGATTTCTTAAATAGGACAAAATAAATATGGTCTAGAAGAGAAAAAAAACTCATAAAATATATTTTATCAAAATTAAAAACATGTTTTCTTAGACAGTTCAGAGAAACAAAAAGATAAGTCCAGTCTAGGAAAAAATGTTTTCAAAATACATCTGACAAAAACTTGTGTGCAAAATATAAAAAGAACTCTTTCAACTCCATAATAATGTAAACAATCCATTAATAAGAAGACAAAAAGATTTGGACACTTCACACACAAAAAAGGATAAAGAAATGGTGAATAAGTACATGAAAAGATTCTGAACATCACAAGACATCAGGAAAATATTAAAAACATTATAAGATAGCACTACACAGCACTAGAATAGCTTAAATTAAGATACTGATAA